GATAAACATGAACAAACTTTGTTGGAGAAGAACAAGGGTCATTGTCTAATCCTCTCTAAATCTTTTGGAAGTTGAATATCAATACAATACCACCATAACATCTCTTTCAAGCCCAATAAATTGGGGAAGGGGCGGGAGTCATAGAACTTGTACTTTGTACAATGTCAGCAGGTAACTCTAAGGGACATTAAATAACAAACAACGGAAAGCATTAATAGTCAACACCTGATGCTCTAGTTCTTAGAAGTTTAATGTTTCTTTAAAACAAAAAGGTTTTAAGTGAATTTGTTACAAGCTAAAACAGACACAATTTCCTAATAAATAATAATGCACAATGAAAATAGTAGTAATAAACAGTAACTAGAAATAGTAATGCAAACATACATAAACTTTGTGAACTTAACACATTTATACTTGGAGATAGAAGTTTTAAAAATAGTTCTGACTAAATGGAATAGCAATAGAAAATACATAAAGTATACAAATAACATGGTAAAACAGATTTTCTTTCATTGAAACAGATCTAGATTTCTTTTTATTAAACTGTTGTTTTATAAGACAGACTTTCAATAAACATAATATAGCCTGATTTTGGGAGTCAGTTACACAGATGGGTCTCAAACAAGGAAATCCTATGCCAAACTGGGAGTCAATCACTTAGGTTGTGACAGAGCGTCGCATGAGGTTTGCGGGACATGTTCTACGTCAAAATGAACTACGCTCACCAAGAGTTGTGATAACATGGTAGCCAATACGAGGAAAGTGCAAACAGGGACGTCCTCATATTACTTTGCGACACACCTTCATGGAGGACCTCAGAACAGTGGACACCAGGTTGGAGGAGGCTTCAGACATTGCCAATGACAGATCTTTATGAAGACAGCTTGCTGCCCAATGCCCCAAACGGCGCGGGAGGACCTAAGTCTAAATAAGTAAGCCTGACTCTATTGTATTAAGTTTCAAATGAATAATGTCTTAATAAGAAATGTGCAGCAGGAAGTGTTTCTAATATAAGGCTACATATTAGTTACATACATACTGTCAATTAGTTGACTATGATGGAAGAGGAAGATGTTTTTTTGTAAATGGTGTTCATTAAATATCAGAACATTGGTTGCATATCAAATAAATTTGTTACACAGATATTCATGAAGACAAACGAAATAACACAATCTTAGGTTTAAATAGAACATAAAATATGTTGATTTACGTTACCCAAACTTAATTATTTTAAAGAGATAATTCACATGGTACTAGTTAATTATGCCAGTAGTTCGCGAAACAACTATTCCAGCCTCAACACTCAAGTTCCGCGAACACAGTTTGGGAAACGCTGATTTATGGTATTTAACTCTCAAAATATGCAAAAACTGATAGAAGTTGGCAGCACAAGATTAATCAATCACTGAGTGGTAGAAAACAAAAAGCAGAAATGACAAATGCACTAAACTAATTAGCAGGTAATTGAAACATCTGCAGTCATACACACCACTACAGCAATGCAAATGACTAAGTTTTCTCTAAATGCAAGCAAACTATGATCAAGCATTAAATAGAAAAAGCTTATACAAATGTTACAACTTTATTACTTTTACCAATTTCAAGTAAAAATTCAATTAGTAAAATTTGTGTATAATTATCATTTTTTGTAAAGCTAGCGTCCATTTAAAAAAAAATAATTCTGGAATGATATGTGATAAACTGATCACTATAATGATAAGTACTTGAAAAATTATATCAATAACAATTGCAACTGATAATTATTGTCACTTTTGAAAAATGTTTTCTGTAGATGAACATCTGATTTATTTGAGAGTTGTAAGAATATCAAGGAAATAGTTTATTGCTTTGTTTCTGCTCAAGTCTTGATTGATTGTATTTGAAACTGCTACAACTGTATCACAGGACAAAAAAAAATTTTCAACCAGCAGAAGTTTGTTTTCAGCTCAAACAATATGGGGTAACAATAGAGAAATGATGGTCTTATGAGGATGAGCAAGATACAAATGGGAAGTAATCCTGTTTACAAAAAAATATTGACTGTTTATTGCAAAACTCAATCTAAGTGTAAAGTTGAACTTAAGTGTAAAGGAAGTGTATGATTCATACAACACAGCTGGGTGGATATCACAAAGGCTAGGTTTAAATAGAGAATAAAGATCTTGAAAGGCTTAGAGGGAATCAAACCAAATGAAGTATGGAATGCACCTAAGTTTAGTTCTATTTCCTCATCAAGAACCACAGTGACCAACTCTCAAATCACCTTCCATATCACAAGTTATCAACACACAAAACAACCCAAGGCTTGCAAACAGACAAGAAAATGTGTGAATTATGGCTTAGCAAAGTTTGGTTGTCTATAATCATGTGAAACAAATAATACACATTTCTATTAGGGACTGATATTACATTTACTTAGGTTTATAATTGAAATTGAAAAAAAAATCCCTGCACAGCTATCATCCTTTTAAAGCACCCAACCATTTCTCTGTAAAATAATGCATACATATTTGAAAAATAAAGGCAACACTAGGGCCCACATTTTTCAATGAGAGAAAATGGTGCACTAAAAATTGCAAAATAAGGGACAACCCTCACCAGAGCATGAACCATTGACTCTTGTGATTTGACTAACTGCACTTAGTATAATCATCCAAACAAACTACTTGACAATCTAGATCCCCAATTAAAGAATGTTTCTGAACAATAGTGTTTCACCAGACCACACTTTGGCAACTAAGAGGTCCATGGTCACATGACCTACCCAGTTCTGCCCCCACCTCCACCACCTTAACAGAGCTGACACAAATGGACATTCGGCTAACTGAAATAATAATTTTTTATTTTTTTTTAACTTCCATAAAATGTTTTCATTTTGTCAGACTTAAAAGGCCAGTAGCTGAGCCAATGTGTCAAGGAAAAAAAAAGTGATGACACACTAAAATGTAATTCTGGGTGCAGTGATAACTTAAGTTAATAATAAAACAATTTACAGAGTTGACCAAAAACAAACAGCTACATTGAAGTTAACGACTTTAATTAGATTTCATTCTTTTCAATGATTTGTACTACACTTTTCATAATGAACAGATTGCTTTAGAAATGTTTTAATTAACCCTCAAAACGCGTGTGGTAGTTTAGCCTCTAAGCATTAGAATTGAGTATGCACTCATTTCAAGAAAGTTCAGCACTTTAAGGGGTTAAGATTACACGTTTATCATTTTAATGAAACAGATTCTCATAATTAACAGACTACCTGCATCTAATATGGGGTGCAGTGGCTGAGTGGTTAAGTGCTTGGCTTCTGAACCTGGAGTCCTGGTTTCGCATCTCAACTAAGACTGGGATTTTGAATTTTGGGATTTTAAGGGCGCCTTGGAGTCCCCCCAACTCTAATGGGTACCTGACTTTAGTTGGGGAAAGTAAAGGCGGTTGGTCGTTGTGCTGGCCACATGACACCCTGCTCATTAACCGTTGGCCATAGAAACAGATGACCATAACATCGTCTGCCCCATAGATTGCAAGGTCTGAAAGGGGAAACTTTAACTTTACTTACATGCATCTAATATTTTATTTTGAGTATCAAAGCTGTGAGTTGTCTCCAACTATTATTAGTTACTGTATTTTATTTTTTTAAGTTTTGGACATTCCTTCAGAAATGAAATAACATCCTACCCCAGACCTCCTGCAAGAACTCAAGGACTCAAACTCAGAAACATTCTGATGACATTCCAAAGTGCTTACCACTTGACCAGACAACCATAAAGTTTTACAAAAATAAAAAGATTATGAAAATAAATTAACGTCCAAAGTTTAATCATGGTCAATATTATTAGAGGGAAAACATCAACTGGTTTTCTTACAAGAAACTATTTTGGTATACAATATATATGTCAGTCATTTAAAGCTAAAGAAATGAGACAGGAAAAAATGTTCAACGTTTGTAATAAAAATAAAACACATATTTTAATTAAACTAAAACCCAGACACAGATGTGGTCATTTCTTGGAATCAATGGACATTAGGAATGAGAAAACTGGTTTACTGTAAAACTTTTCATATTTGTAATAACAAAAAAAATAAATAAATATTCATACTGTAAAAAAAAATAATGGAGCAGAAAATTTCAAGCATAGAGTCACAACCTCAGTCAATTAAATCGATCACAAATATATGATCTGTGTAAATATAACAGCCGACTGTATAACAGTATATAACAAATGAATGTGTATAAAAGGTGAAGTCAATAAATATTTCAAAAGTTGTAACACATGGTTCTTGAACAAATCAGCCAGTATGTAAATATGTGGAGATATAGACATAAGATCTTTGAGAATCAGCTTGTGTAGAATTTAAAGGAGATATATAATGAGATGTACCATCTAGGTTTCAGATGACAAACCAGTTCTACTCATTTAGCTTATGTTTATTTAAGGAGGGTGTGAAAGCATAGCATTAAAAATACAGGGAAAGGGGGGGGGGGTTTCAATATGGAATATATACATGACCTCTGAACCCAGTACCAGATTTTATACTAAACAGACCTATATAAAAAGACATCTGGTACAAATGAAAAAAAAAAGTTCATTCATATAAACTTTTCAACAAATTAAAAACAATTCTAAACTAAAGGTCAAACAGAAAATATTTCCTCACTTTCACCAAACAAACCTTGGTAGAGAAAAGAAATTTAATGATGGCATAGCCCGTGAGTTTAAAATTGGATTGTTTGAAATTTTTTTTTTTAGTTTTGTTTAACGGTAGTGAGAAAGTTAACAGCAAGACATGTCTGTTTTTTTGCATCATCAAGGCTGTTAGCTCAAATTAAGTCCAATATTCATCAATAACTTTATGAAAATCCCATTTTACAAACTTATTCAAGTTCACAGTTCAAAACATTACAAAATGGATAAATCCCTTAAACATTTCAACATGACTGATACATTATAAATACATTTGTCAGTGACAAAGTCCTAATGACACAATAAAACAAACCAATGTATGAGGATAAATCATGTGATCTACGTAAAAAAACAAACAACTATTGTTTCAATAGCATTGAATGAAAATCTCTAAGAAGAACCAACAGTATTCTCACTTTCTTATCTACCAGCTCAGTGATCTTTATATATTAACTCTTTTTCTCCATAATTATTTACCACATTCTGGTGGAATCAACGCTGGTATCGTCAGTTAGGAGAGAAAGAGTTAAAGCATGATACAATATTCAATCTAGTTGCAGTTACAACTAAAAATCAAGATTCGATTTACAAGGAAAAAAAAAAAAAAAAAATTATAGCAAAGAACCGGGACCAAATTTTGATATAAAATTATAATTTTACAGAAGAGACAAAATATAGAGGAAGAGACTGAAGTTTAATGATGATGATTATAGGATAGCAAATAAGAATTTCTGTTATACAAAGTCATCTTACTATTCATCACTGACATAGGTCTAACCATCTGATTATCTCTAAGGTTATAAGTGAGAACAAAGAAAATATCCAAGTGTAACGGTATAGACTCCAACAAACAATGATCACTTATTACTTATATATATATATTGCAGTTCTTAGTAAACAAAACTCTTAATTAGCATGGCTAGATTTGAAAAAAAAATTTAAAACGAAGTCCTGATTTCAGTCCCCTTAGTCCAAGATATAATTTATATTTATTTTGTGTTAAATAGCAAGTGATAAGAAATCAGAGTCAGAAGTCTAATATACAGAATTGGGTAGATAGTGTTGATTTAAAATGTTTTTTATGCTGCTGTGTAAAAGTTTTGTATCTAACATCATAGGTAAGGTAGGTGGATAGGGCCAGTAGCTCAAATGTTGTTTTTTTTTGTTGTTTATTCATTACTATATTACTTTTTGGTTATGGAAACAGCATGAAAAATGCAAAATGTTTTGAACTAAAAAAGGGAATTATTATACGAATTGGAACATATTAATGCAACAAGCTATCTGGTCAACTTTTATTATGTCATTATACAGCGGCCAGTGTTTCTCTTTCCTCTATTGCATGAGATATTTCACATAGGTACTATACACAAATCTGGCAGATTTCAGTGGTATAGTATGCAAACATACAAATGAATAATTATTGCCATGGTGACAGTTAAAAGAGCTTAAAACTTTTCTTCATCTGTTTCTGTTTCCAGCCTGGCAATTTATTGAAGTCCGAGTAAGACATGTTAAAGACTTTCTTAAACTCATCATCTCGGAGATGTATCTGTTGATTCAATGACAATCGTTCAATTTGAGAATGTCAGAAATTATTTAGTTACAGCTTGACTGATTGTTAAAAGCAAAAAAACACATTTATAACATACAAATGCTGATAAAACGACTTTTTTTTTTTTTAAAGACACAACCTCTTGTTTTGAGTTCTAAAAACTTTCAATTACTAAAATTGAATTATGATCAATTTAAATTATTAGTGATAAATTGTAGCACAGTGTGTTACAAGGTGTCTGAGGGTCACCAGCTTCTGATTTTTTCTCAGGGTTGATCCCCGAAGCCTTTCCCATTTTAATTATAGCTGCAAGACAGCAGACGTTGAGATTTAGTTTTCTTTCTAAGTGGGTAGCCAGCTAGGGCTAATGAGCTCCTCCTGCATGAAGCTAACTGGTTAAGATGCCTTTGCCTCTTCACCTGCCAGTGATTATAATTCTGCAGGACCCAATATCTAAGCCATATGTAAAGGCCATGAGTTGCACTGGTTGTCAGAGACTATTTAAGATGTCTTTGACAAGCATTTATAGGTAGTGGAGTGCTTATATCAATTACCACTTAAAAAGGCTAATACAGTATAATTTATATAATGAAAATTGAGCATGTTAATATTCAGTTCAGTCATTAATAAAATGAATACATTTTACAGTTACAGACAATGGCCAATTATACTTATTGCTTATTTAATGTTATATTTAATGTTCTACCTCTCTAGCATTAGGGTCTACACCTGAGGGCAACTCCTCAGCAGCCACTTGGAGCTCCACCAATGAATACTTGGGAACCTCATTAAAGTCTGGGCTGCCACTTATGCCATTCTGGAAAGTGTCACAAAAAAAGAAACAAACAAAAAGTTATTTGACACTCCGTTCAGCATCAGACAACTCTGCTACAAAATGTTATGTTCAACTCCTCAGCTTCTAATTATGTACATTAACTAAGAATATAATAAAATGTATTGAGGATTTTCTATGACAAACAAAACAATATCTGGGACTCTACACTGAAATTGAATGTTACAAACTAAATGACTCGACACTGAATTTGAATGTTACCAACTAAATGAGCCACAAATGGAAGAGCTTAGCACATTTGATTCTGTGCCACTTAACAGTGAATAAAAAAATAATGATAACTTTTGAATAAATAATGATAACTTTTGAATAACAAAACTTATCTACACATCCTTCAATCTTTACGCCTGAACATCAAAAAGCTATTTATTATTTGTCTCCCATGGGTGATATTTCTAATGTAAGAGATCAGGATTCAAACAATTTCTTCTACAGGGTTTGAAGAAAAGAAACAAGAAAATATTAAAAATAAAAAAATTTTTAAAACACAAAGCTTATATTGAGCGTTGTTGTATCAATGAGTTTGGATAACTCGTGTAATCAAATTTGTTATAGATCTAGGCTAACAGTACAAAAGCATTTATAAAAATAAAAAAATGGGAAATGACCTGAATTCGAACTCATGGCTCAAGTCTTCTAAGGCCAACACAGTAACCACTGTGCTAGTGGAGAGCCTATAAACATGGAAGATTGTATTGTTATGTATTGTTTCTATAGTCTCATCCTATTTTTCATGTTGAGTTCACCTAGACTGAGATGACGATGTATAAAGGGGACTAATTCAGTTTATACCACCACTTCAGTCAAGTACAATTTCTTTCCCTTGTTTGGAGATACCCAACAAAATAATTAATTACCAAAAGTTCATTAGCTAATTGGTTAATTTTTTTCAAAAATTGATTCTTGTGTTGTCAGGTAAAAGAAATAATTGTGAAAAATTTCAGCTTGATCCGAGATTGTGTGTGGGAGAAATAATGTGTAAAAACTTTTGACCAGATTGATAGACAGAGTGAGTTGATATAAGCTTTGTAAAAAAGTTACTGTTGAAGAATAAGTATATAGTAAGGGTAGCACAGTGGTAAAGTGGCTAGCTTTCAAACAAAATGGTCACAATTTTTCGTAGACTAAAAACAAGGCTTAGTCCTAAAGATTATGTTGGAAGGTTGTTAAAACTAAAACAGAAATGACTGACCTGTTTAATTTCAACAATGGGAATGTTACTTTCTCCAACCTGTTTCTTTAATTCTTCAAACGATAAACCTTTCTGTCATTTAAAAAAAGATATATATGTACATAGTTTAAGAGATGAAAAAAACAACAAATGACAACAATGCTAATGTTAAACTTTTCTTTCTTTATGTTTCTTTTTTTTTTTTTTTTTTTAAACAATTTTCAGAAAATTGCGGCCATGGTGACAGAGTGTGGCAATGTGCTTGGTTTCCAAACCAAAGAATCTCAAGTGAAATTCTCAGAGAACACTGGGTATGAACTTCTGGTTGTTATGCTGGTCACATGACACTTTTGTTAGCCAATGGCCAGGGAGGCAGATAAATTTCTGAAAGAGAACCTTAATTTCACACAATGAGTCTCTCAATAAAAAGATACTTTCTACAGCTGCCAGTCCTAAAGGAGAAACTTAATTTCACAAAATAAGTCTGTGTATTTTTATATTTTATCTGTAAACCTTTAGTTTCAATGAGTCATTTCATTACTTCTGTATAATCCAGATAACAAACAACAGAAAAATGAAGAAGTGGGCCACAGAACTAGCACCTGGCCAACCAAAAGTGAAGCATCCATTAAAGTCACTTTGAGAATTAAGTTTCCTTTTTATCAGCAGAAAAGTTTTTTTGGCCCAGACTGCACAAGAGCATACAGCTCAGCATAAACAATCTGGCTACATGATGAATAATATTAGGTTGGCATATATGATAATTATTTTAAACATTTATCTTTCTGACTGCTTGGCAAAACTGTAATATCATTGATTTACTGAAACGAAAGTACCGGTAAATGGATGTTTATCATGTTTTTTTTTTAAAAGAAATTTCTTCCACATCTTTTTACCTCATTAAAAATAATAAATCAAGGTTAAAATCTAGTTGGTAAAAAATGAGATGAGACATTATTTGAAAATAATTTTCGTATAAAAAAAAAGAAAAAAACTCAAGCACCAAATTAATTAAATTTTGATACTTCAGAGCATATCCTCCAAAATTCCTGGTCCATAAACCCAGATAAGTAGCAAGATGATCAGTTCATAAACCCAAGAAAAGTAAAAAAGAAAAGTTGAAGTATAGAAAACATAATACTTACAGACCAGATGTCTCTGTCCCAAATACCAAAGAATCCTGTGAAGGAGGGTGGCTCAAATCCTTGTTTAATACACAGAATTGGTGTGTCAATATCTCGACCAGCTGGATCTGTCTTTAAGTATTCCTGAAATAATAAAGTGCTTAAATTACAAAATGAAATACATATTGTCATTAGAAAAAATGTATGCCATTATAAACCCAAGTTAGAGCTTGTTAAACTCCCAAGATAGACCCAACTCGTCAAAATCTGACTTATATAAATGTGGCAAAATGTGTAGGTCACAGCTGGTGCTGCGTAGCCATGGAAAATACTGCATTCCTTATTAATCATCTGACTTGAAGGTAAACCTTATTATTACATAGATACATCACTTACACACTACACATATAGATCCTTCTTTATGGTAGAAGATGTGCACATTTCTAATTTCCTATGAACTCGAAGATAGCTATTAAGTCCAATCCTTGCTTTAAAAAGCTGGGCACACAAGTCATGGATAAGTTGAGTCTACTGCAGATAAGCTTGCTTTTTCTCTCAGCCTTTTGTTGGTTCTGTGTTCTTTCATCCTTGCCTCATATCTTGTGACACCTAAACTCAATGCTACAAGCCATGAGGAGCGATGGAGTGCTAGTGTTTCCCACCCATGAATGTCAATCTCACACTCCTTGAACGAGCTCTAAAGGATGTCTTTGTACACTTGTGTTGACCCCCCAGAGAGCACTTTTCTGCACACAACTTCCCATAAAGAAGTCGCAAGTTTTGGGATTAGGATCTTTTGGTTGTGGCGTGAATACTGCTCATATGTGACAACTGCAGGATTTCAATGTCTGATATGTGGTCAAACCAGTTAACCAGATGAATTTTGTACACCGTACACATAATAACAAGAACAC